ACCAAAAATGCAGCAGTCTTCCTGGTGGGATATTAAATATTGAGTACAAGGGTTCCTCTGCCATAAGCCAGAGCACCCATCTTCACCCCCTGTAGAAAGGGCTTTACTAAGCCACAGCGTCACTGCTGTCCACCTGTGCTTCCCTCTGCTGGGAACACTTCTTTGCCTAGGTGATGCCTATTTGTCCTTCAAAAAGAGCACAAGTCACCCCTTTGAGAAGCTTGAGTGGCTCCAACCTGCAGTGCACACGCCTCCCTGTGCCCCTTAGCACCTGAGCATACTCTATTATATCCCTACACTTACCACTGGGCTCCTGGCTTGTTGGGCTCTGCTGCCACACAGAGAACTTTTTTTTAATTCCTTGGCACCAACAGGTGCGCTGTAACTACTAGTGGAATGAGTCTTCCCTCCTGTGGGACGGAATTCAGTTTGTCCCGGCAGGTGGCACTCCACCCGTGTAATGTAGGAGGAATCAGAGAACTCAGATCCATTCTCTAGCGTTCGGAATTGGCATTTTTGTTGGCCTCCTCTCCCTGCTCCAATGTGAATTACCCTCACGCATCATCATTTGGGGTCAGATGACCTACATCTTTCCCAAGCTAAATTATCCACTAACTGAAAATCTATCGTTCATGACATTGTTCAGTAAGCATTTTTTATCCACTGTGTCCTGTCACACTGTGCTGAGTGCTGGGACACAAATATTATGCTCTCAAAGAACTCACAGTCAGTCTGGTGGGCAGGGGCACTTACCTGTAAGCGACTGCTCCATACTCCCGGCCAAGGCCACTCGGCTTGCTGGACTAGCTCCTGGCTCATTGTGCTAAGATGGCTTCGCTGGAAGAGCCCGCCTGGAACACATCCATAAGGGTTACACAGACCTGAGGGGAGTGGCGAGTTCCCAGCCCTGCCTGCAATCTGGACCAGGATAGCTACTGCCTAGAATTGGCTCTGACCTTGAGATAAGATGACCTTTCTTGAGTGGCAAGCTAAGATAGTAACTCCTGGGAGACAGAGAGGTAGAGGTGCCATCTGTGCCAACTCAGGACACCCTCACACCTGAAACTCTTGGCGCCTAGTGCCCAGGGCAGAGGAAACATCAAGGTGATCAGGGCATAGGAACATCTTCCTGCCATCGCTGCCTCTGGTCCCCAACAGCTTGAAACTGACCACTGGGTCACTAAGACTCCCTTAGCAGACAGGCCAGAGCCTGACCAACTGCACCCCGGATGAAGCTGTGCTAAATTACAGAACTGCCTTCCTCCATCTCCCAAATAAACAAACAAAAACCAAAGAGGGGGAAAGCACTTATTTTCTTGTTTTAATATGAATGGCTCTCTGGACCTTATGAACCTGTTAAGTATCAAGAAGACCCTATAAGGATCAAGAGTCTTTCAGCTTTATGAATGTAATAGTTGTCATGTCTCACCGGCAAGTTTTTTAGAGACAGTCTTTTTTTATTTTTTTATTTTTGAGACAGAGTCTACTCTGTTGCCCGGCTAGAGTGCCATGGCGTTAGCCTAGCTCACAGCAACCTCAAACTCCTGGGCTCAAAGCAATCCTTCTGCCTCAGCCTCCTGAGTAGCTGGATATAGTACTCGCATGCCTGGCTCATTTTTTCTCTATATTTTTTAGTTGGCAATTAATTTCTTTCTATTTTTTAAATAGAGACAGGTCTCACTTTTGCTCAGGCTGGTTCTGAACTCCTGACCTTGAGCATCTCCACCTCGGCTCCCAGAGTGTTAGGATTACAGGCGTGAGCCACCACACCCAGCCTAGAGACAGGGTCTTGCTCCCGTCCACCCAGGAGGGCAGTAGCATGATCACAGCTCATTGTAACCCTACTGCGGGGGCAGTAGCATGATCACAGCTCATTGTAACCTCAATTCCCGGGCACAAAGGATCCTCTTGCCTCAGCTTCCCAAGTAGGTAGGACTACAGGCATGTGCCACCATGGCCCAGCTAATTTTTCATTCTTTTAGAGACAGGATCTTGCTATGTTGCCCAGGCTGGTCTTGAACTTCTGGCCTTAAGTGATCCTCCCGCCTTGGCCTACCAAAGTGCTGGATTATAGGTGTGAGCCACTGCACTTGGCCTCCAGTTAAGTTTTGATGTTAAGATTGGATCTTTCACAGGCAAAGGATTTAGCTACTTGTTAGTTATTAACCCAGCTTGGAATACAAGAGTCTAATCACTTTATTCCCCAAATCAAAACACGAAACTGCATTTTCTTATGTCCAGCATGATTGCTAGGTGTTTTCCACCTCAGTCTCGGGTGGATGCTCTGGGCAGGAGACAGGACATTAGGATTGATGAATTTCTGAACTCATCTAGCAATGGCAAGGTAAAGAAATTCCTCTAAATAGACAGAAATCTTTGTTTTTGTGGGGGAAAATACTCTTCAGTTTCCCAAAGCCTTGAGTCCTTCCAAGAGGTGAGAAAAGGGGTGTAATAAGCAAGCCTTTGATCTGGGGTGGGCATGAGGATGAGTGCAGAGGAAAGCAGTACGGATCCTCCTCTCCAGCAAGGCCAGGCTGCAGTAAGGAACGGATGCTGTAACGGCAGACCTGAAATAAGTAACTGCTCTCAGGTAGAAGCAATGGCCTAGGCACTTGCCACTCAAAGTGTGGCTCACAAACCAGCAGCATCAGCAATTGCCTGGGAGCTTGCTGGAAGGCAGAACTTCAGGCCCAGCCTGGCCCACTGAACCAGAGTTTGCCTTTGAACTGATCCCCAGGTGATCTGTGGGCATATGCCAGTTTGAGACATTCTGCTTTAGACTTTTGTATAAGAGGAGAGGAAGCCTAACTACATAGGCACCTTTCTGTGGAGAATATGTCTTTTGCACTACTTCCTGGAAAATGTCTCCGCCAGTCCTACTAAGATAGGCATTCAGAGAAACGCCTACTTTAAGGCTTGAAGGCCCCATCCTTACCGAGATGTTCCACATCATCTTGATGGCTAAGGGGAAGACAGGGGCCTGCCGCTTGCACGTCCTTTTCTCTCGAGGGATGACATCTGGGCCTCTCCCTGGGAGCAGCTCGATGCTTTTGCCACCTCCAGCTGCTGGGCAACGCAGGCATGGCGGCTTCATACACAGCGCACTGCAGCCCTTGCCAATGGACTGCCCTATCAGATACTCCTCCAGCCGGAAGCCTGCCAGCGCCTAGTGTCCAGTGGGTCAGGCACCAGCTTATTCTTCTGGGCAAAAATTGCCTGTAAGGGAAAAGAATGCACTGTGAACCAGGAGCCCATGAAGGCCCAGGTAAAGGGAAACAGGAGGAGGGGAGAACCTGGCCCTTAACGCCAGATCAAGGACCAATAAAAGCCAACCAACTGGGTTTCGCTGTCATCCTGAGGGCAGGCATCCTGCCTTCTCATTATTCAGAATAATTTTTCTCAAACTGTTGCTTCACTGTTGATCGCAGCACTGAGTTAGCGAAGGGTCCTGCAGCTGGTACAGCACCCCTTGCTGCCTTCGCTCTCCAGCCCAGTCTTGGAGGTGTCTGGTTATGGAGACAGCTCTCTCTGCAAAGACCTAGGCTGACAGCTCCTAGACAGCTATCAGGGGTGTGTGATCAATAACGACCTCAGGAGCTTTGCAGCAGAGGGCGACATTTGGGAGTATCCCAGAGCTGAGTCAGTAAGTCCTGTCTCCCCACCTCTGCCCCCAGGACTCTGATGGGCCTACTCTGTTGAGGAAGGAAACAAGAGCACAAGAGTTCTGACAGACACAGATGGAGCGGCAGGCCTGTGCCCTGTGCTGCGCTGGAAAAGAGGCCACGTGCCAAAACTCTGGGCAGCCCCTCACCTGCTTTAGGCAGTGGGTGAGTCACACCTCCAGTCACCCAGGCTCAGTCTTCCCCCTCCAATGGTCTGACCTGCTGATCCCCGCTCCAACTCCACGGCTAGTTACCCAGGCACCAGGCACAGCATGTGCACCCCCTGGCAGCAGCTACAAGCATGTCTCTAGATTCCCCCACTCTCATGCTGTCCCACTGCTTCTGAGCCACACTAACCCATGCTGCTTTCATGTGTCACTCTGCTGTGCACAACACCGCAGGAGCTATTCGATGCCTCTTCTGTGCTTTGCCAGGCTGGTCTGCGCACTGTGTGTGTTACCTTTCCAGGACCTCTCTGAACTGCTGCTCACCCCCACGCCATGGTACTGCTCTGCCCACTCTCACTGCTCACCCATCAAGCATACTCGCTCTTTCTTCCTCTGTAACCAGCCCCGATGACCCAGCCACAGCAACCTTTCTTGAGGTCTAAAGATACTTGAGTATCATAAACAAAGAATACCTTGCGACTAGAACTTTGAACTTTTTTTTTTTTTGTGACGACAGTCTCACTCTGTTTACGCGTGCCTAGAGTGCTGTGTGCGTCAGAGAGTCACAGCAACCTCAGACTCCTGGTAAGCAATCCGCCCACCTTGGCTCCAGAGCTGCTACGATACAGCATGCGCCACCAGCGAATTTTCTCTCCTGCCTCAGCCTCCCAAGTAGCTGGGACTACAGGCATGCCCAGCTAATGGCCACCATGCCCAGCTAATGTTTTCTATATATATTAGTTGGCCAATTCATTTCTTTCTATTTATAGTAGAGACGGGGTCTCGATCTTGCTCAGGCTGGTTTCGAACTCCTGACCTGGAGCAATCCACCCGCCTTGGCCTTGGATTGTCTTTTAACAGTGGAATGACTTCCTGACTTCTCCTTGAGGGACCAAATGAAGCTGTCAATACACTGAGGGGGTGGAGAATCACTGAAATGGGAAATCTAGAGTGACGGCACTCGATGAAGAGAATTCAAGAACTGCTTGGTGGAAAAGAACATTCACTAGATGTTCACCTTTCTTTGGACAACATCTGCGTTCCTAAAAAGCATGTGTAAAATTACATGTGAAATCTCTTCCCCAGTGTTGATATCTGCCCACAAAATGTTCTCAGGTTTAGGGTATAAGAATAATTTTTAAAGCCAAATATTCAGTTCAAGGCACGTACGTATTCTGCAGTTGTACATTTGCATTTAATTTCACAATTCCTGTAAGAAATGCTATTCAGGAAGGAAATCAACAAGTTTAAAACACCACACTGCTAATTTCTACTACATCAGTCATTTCAGCTATGGGAGGTTAACTCAGTAGCTGGAGCAGCTCTGTGGAAATGCTTTCTCACAAACATCCCGGACTGGTCCAGAACACACACAGCGGGTGAGTGCAGAGGCTGCCACCTCCCAGCCTCAAGTACGCTTTCCACACTGAGTATGCCGACCCGTACAAATGCCTTCCCTAGCCCACCTCGCAAATGTGGCCTGATGCCACTCTGCCTCTTTCAAGTGAGCCACAGGCTCTTCCTGGTGCTAGGGGCAAAGGTCACAGGCTCTGCCACTAACAGCCACTCCCTTAGCCTAGACCCTCTGCAGCGTAAATGCAGGCCTAACCCTCCGCAGCCCAGCCTCATCTAACGGACCACTCAGCCATTAACTTCGCAGAGGCCTGTGAGGATGGGACAGGGACTTGAGACAGGGCTTTCTGGTAAGCAGTTACACCTGAAGGCATCTTCTTGCCTGGTGCAGAGAACACATTGCTTTGTTTCTGTACTCGGGGATGAGCTGATTACGTTATTTTTAGCATTGAGACACAAAGGGACTCTGATCAGTCAGCACTTTGTTTTTTTAGAGTTATGCCATATGAATTTATCTAAACCAGGGGTTGGCAAACTGGCCTGCCACCTGTCTCTGTGTGGCCTGTGAGCTAAACATGGTTTCTACATATTTAGATGATTGAAAAAAATTGAAAGAATGTTTAGTGACACGTGAAAACAAAATTTCAGTGTCCATGGGAACTGAAAGTAAAGCTCCATGGGAACACAGCCATGCTTGTTCATTTACATATTTACGGTCACTTTTGCACTACAATGACAATTGAGTGGTTGTGACAACTTAAAAGTATCTACTATCTGGCCCTCTAAAGAAAGCTGGCCAATCCTGATTTAGACCAATTTCTTCATTTTACAGGTAAGAGAACTTAAGTCTACATAGGTTATAGGATTTGTCCCAAATCACACAGCTAGAGTTAGTAGCTACAGACTGTGAACTCTGACTCACACTGTCCTTCCATTTGCCACACCTGAGGCTTGTCTGGTGGACACAGACAAGCACAGTCTCCGCACAGTCTCCCTCTCCGCACAGTCCTGTCTCCTGACTCGCACCCTCTCACACCTCGGGGCCCCTCAGCATTCACAGACCATCACGACACAGGTGCTGCTAAGCTCTTTTAGTAATTCGCCAGCTCCAGGCAGAACCGTCATGGGGCTGCCCTCCACGAGGAGAGGAGGAGGGCTGCCTGGCACAGCGCGTCACACTCCAGGTTGGCCAGAAAGAGCATCTTCATTTTTGTTTCCACACACCTCTTCTCTGTGAGCCCGTTGGCCAGCAGAGTGGCGGCTGACTGCTGCAAGAGCCAGGCAATCATCTTGTCTAACTTCAGATTTTTCAGGGCTAGAATATCTTCACCCCAGAGGCTGAGATGAAGCACGTTTGCGGCGACTCGAGCAGATGGTCTCTGCAACGGGAAGGGAAGCTGAAGCCTGGAACATCTGGAACCAGGTCTCAGCCCACAAGCTGCTTCAGGGTCCAACCCAGTTCCTCCGCCCTCTCTCCTGCTGATGCTCTTCCCTCAGCTGACAAATCCTGGCTGCCCTCTACCCATGCTCCTGGCTGTGCCACGTGTACAACTCTGCCTGGGGCAGTCTGCATTGTGGGAACAGCCTTCCCCCTTGTGGAAGGCCACATGCCTTTTGTGCACAGCTCTGGCTGGTCCCTTGCGCTGGGGTGCGCTAAGTTGTCATCATTGCATAACTGGTTGTGGTTGTTTTTCTAACCAACCTCTGAGCACCTACTCTTACCAAGATGGCAGGCCACCAAGAGGGACATAAGCAGTGAGTGCAGAATAGTGGCTGGGATGCAGGTCTGGCTGAGCTCTTTGCACTCGGCCTGCCACTAGAGCCTGCCCTGCTGTTCCAATTATGGCTTCAAATAGATCTGCCTCAGTTTCCTTTACATTAATCTCATAGTGGCCAGATCTGCTCTCAGGAGATGCTTTCCCATCTATCTGTTTGATTAGATCTCAGCTGTTTCCATGAGGTATATCTCCATTAAACGTTTCTCAAAAATGCAACCTTTGTTCTTTTTTAAGCAACTAAAAAACCCAAGAGTGAACTGCTAGGATTCTGACTCATGATTTGGTGGCTAGCTACCTACTCCCATTTATACTAAACTCTGTTTTGTGTTCTCCTGTAACTGCCAAAACTTTTACCTTTGTAAGACAGAGGCTCTGTCCCTCTGTCACTGTCATGCTGGCCCAAACCTGACCTTCATTCTGGAGCGTGAACTGAGGTTTCCACCCAACGTTACTGTGAAGCCTGGGAACATCTTACCTTGCTGGGCTCTCGCTGGAGCAGTGACCTCACCAGCTGTCTCACGTCTAGAGGGACCGACTCAGGCAGTACAGGCAGCTGAGTCTCTTGGTAACTGCGGCTTTCGAGGTGGGCCTTGCCCTGGCCATAGAAGGGATTGGCGAGCCCGAAGATTTCATAGGCGATTGCTCCCACTGCCCAGGTGTCAGCCTTGCTGTAGTCAATCACTGCCCTGGGGCCAGGATGGGCCGTGGACACCTGCTCGGAAAATAATGGCTGAGATGCCCACGCTGCTGGCATGTCCAACCTTTCACACTCTTGCATGTCACCTGACTTGTGGGCAAATCTGAATTCTGTCCCAAGGAACCCAAAACTTGAGTTGTGGCTTAGACCCAGAAGAATCTGCTCAGACTGCCTAGTTTACGCTGACAAAACTCACATCTGGGAACATTAGGGAAATGCGGAGTAAAGCAAACTGGCAGGGAAGGAACCTGTGCCAAATTATGGGTCAGAAGAGATGAAAGGTGCCGAGTAAATAATGAGGTATCAAGTCTTATTCTCTCACTTAGTGGAAACATGGATGAAGAGCTGCAGATGGTGATGACACGCTTGGGGGACTCACCTCAGGAGCCATCAGGCAGCCGTTTCCGCCCCGATCCACATACCAACTGGTGAAGGGCAACTGCAGGCCGATGCTCGCATCAGCCAGGCAGCAGCCAAAGTCCGTGATCACCAGCCAGGGGCAGCCATCTGGGAGGGAGCAGGCAGAGGTGAGCAACTGGTTCCCTCCCCTCTCCTTCCAAGAGGCCCTCCTATGTCCCTATAAAGCCACCAGCAATACACGGGTGAGCAGGGCTAACAGGGACTCACTATTGGCCTAGAACACAGGCCAGCAAGGCATGACAGCTGAACAGAAGGGCCGGCCACATGAATATGGAAATGTCTCCAAGATATAAAAGCCTGCAAAGTCCCCAGGCAAAGGACTAGATAAACGTTGGCTCAATCTAAATAATTTTCTAGTGGTTGGAGCTGTCCCTAAGACCAAAGGAGCTAGTGCTTGGCTCAAATGATCTCTAGGGCCCCTTATACTCCAAGAATCTTTGAACTGAAAACCCCAAATCCAAACCTAAGAAACAGGTGCATTAGGACTTAGTTATTTGTAAAAGGATTCACAGAGTTCCTTTAAAAATCCAGTTCCTCAAGTCATTTAATTACACATTTAATTATTTTAAATCTTCTAGTTTAAAATTTATCAGATGTCTGAATCTCCTTTCAATATCCCTAGGTAAGTGGCAAGTGGCCATTCAAATTCTATTTGAATGCTTCCGGCAATGGGGAACTCATTATTGCCAGAGGCATCTGGGCTTACATTTGGACAGCTTTCACTGTTTGCAAATTATTTTTTATAATGAGCTAAAGTCGACCTCTCTTTTACTTTATTCATGAAAAAGGTTCTGAGGTTCTCGTTCTGTAAGTGGGCGACAGAAAGGAACCTGGGTAACTGTCTCTCCACAGAGACATCAAGCCTCTGTTCTGAAGGAAAGGTTGCTCATCTCTGTGTACAGAGTAAATGAAGACACAATTACTTAGAACATAAAAACCAGAGGACATGAAGAGTCCTAAACACTCCTGCCTACCCACTAGTGCTCCCGGGAAGCTCTGAGGGCACGGCAGGCACCTACCTGCATCCAGCTCGACGAGAATATTGTCAGATTTTAAGTCCCTGTGTGCGATGCCTTGTTGAACCAGATGATCCACGCCCTCCAGTAACTGCAAGGTCATCACAGTGGCGAGGCGAGGGCTGGGGGTGTTCTCGCGAAGGTACTGGCGCAGGGTACAGGGATAGCTGGTGGAGAGAGGACAGGGCCTCTGGCTATCACGCATCAACCAGCTCCTTGTTCACTGTCAGCATTAGGCCTTTCTTCTTCCCCTTCCTGGAGCTTTTTGATTTATCCTTTTCTGATTTGTTTTTTGATGTATCCTTTCTGTTCCCGCCCACCCACTATCCTGATGTTATGAAGTAAGAACTGGGGCTCCTCATGTTCAAAGTAACAGGCAAATCTTTTTATTTATTTATTTATTTATTTATTTTTTTGAGACAGAGTCTCGCTTTGTTGCCTGGGCTAGAGTGAGTGCCGTGGCATCAGGTTAGCTCACAGCAACCTCAATCTCCTGGGCTCAAGCAATCCTGTTGCCTCAGCCTCCCGAGTAGCTGGGACTATAGGCATGCACCACCATGCCCAGCTAATTTTTTCTTATAATATTTTTTGGCCAATTAATTTCTTTCTATTTATAGTAGAGACGGGTCTCGCTCTTGCTCAGGCTGGTTTTGACTCCTGACCTTGAGCAATCCTACGCCTTGGCCTCCCAGAGTGCTAGGTTACAGGTGTGAGTCACTGCGCCCGGCCCAGGGCAAATCTTACTTCCTAAAACACCCATTATGGCAAAGTTAGGCGGTAAGAGGGTGAGGAAGGAGAACTGTTTCCATGTTAAAAGGTAAGGAAAGCCACAGAGAAGGGTACTAGGTGAAAAGTATGTTCTAGATGAAAGTGGATTTTGTTTTGATGAAAATCATCTCAATGGCAAAGTGCCTCCAGGATAGAGGACTCTCTTGCATGGCCTTATTCTCCCAAAGGGTGAGGACCCTCTTCCCTGAAACCCTGTGCTCAAGGTGCATGTGGAGGGCAGGCCAGCTCCCCTCAGAAAATGAAGCAGCTGCAGCTCCTGCAATTTCTGCCACTTACTTTTTTTTTTTTTTAAGGCAAGCACGAAAATGAGGTTTATTAAGGAAAGCAAGATGGGATTTAGCCATTACTTCTTCATGCGAGGAACAGTGTCCGGCCGTGGCCAGGCCTTCTGGGTGGACGTGAGGGCAGCACATCAGGGTAGTCGACCAGGGCCCGGCAGCAGCGGCACAGCGAGGTGAAGGGCGGGAAACCCGGATGATGTTGGGTGAGGGCCAGTTGCTTGGGACCGCCTTGGATTTTCTATTCAGCCAGTGGAACAAATGAGGCCAGTTACAGATACAAAGCTAGAAAGAAGAATCTAAGCCCCAACAACACCTACATTTATTCGCTCATTTATCAGATATTTATCATGTGCTATATGCCAGGTATTATAAATGTGTTGGGAACATATTGATGACTCCCTATCCATCCTTCATCTATCTGCCTTCCATTCATCCATTCATTCATTCATCCATCCATTCTTCCATTCATCCATCCGTCCCATGTGACAGAACACAACGGTTGAGAAACCTGGATCAGACTGCCTGGGTTTGAATTCAAGGTCTGCTACTGTAAGTCCTTGGCCAAGTTATAGTATAGCCCCTTATCCAAGCTTTGCTTTCCATGGTTTCAGTTACCTGTGGCCTAAAATAGGTGTATTCACCTATTTTTTTTAATAAGTTTTTTTTTTTTTGATATGAGGTCTATGTTGCCCAGGCAGGTCGTGAACTCCCGATTGGCTGGGACTATAGGCGTGTGCCACTGTGCCTAGCTTAATGAGATATTTAGAGAGAGACACAGAGAGAGAACTGCGTATTACAGTATTTGTTGTAATTGTTCTATTTTATTATAGTTATTGCTATTAATCTTTTACTAAGCCTAATTTATAAATTAAGTTTTATCACAGGTATGTGTCTATAGCAGAAAACATAGCATATATAGGGTTCAGTACTATCTGTGGTTTTAGGCATCCACTGGGGGCTCTGAAATGTATCCCCCTCAGGATTAAGGGGAGACTACTGTGCTTGTCTCCTCTGGGCTGAGTCTCAAGTGCAAGAAGGGAATAAGGTAGTACATGCTGCATAAGGGTATATATATAAAGTACCTAGAATCAGCGTTTAACACAGAGTAAGCATCCAGCATACTAGCTGTTGCTATTCTCATTCAACCAGTGTTTACTGCTCTCACACTGAGTACCAGACATTGTGCTGCTATGCTTGGAGCTACGGCAGAGACAAGACAGAGTCCTTATGCTCATGGGTTTGCAATCTAATAGTCTAGAGTGACATTCATTGAATAAGTAATTACTTTAACTCCCTAAGAGTAAGGACCATGCCTGAATTTTCTCCCCATGATTTCAGGTTCTAGCATAATATTTGGCATGGAGTATGAGCTTAATGAACCTGTGCTGAGTGAATGAATGGACCCAGATGTAGTTAGTAGCAGTGGTGTCACCTGCCTGCCCTGCCTGCACCCCCTCCTCTGGAGGCCCCTGCCCCAGCCCTGCTGAGGCGCAGTGGCTGCACTCCGGATAGTGTGGCTCTGCCTGCTGTGCCCAGCCCCGCTCCTCCACCAGAGCTGACTGGACCAAGGGTGGCCACTCCCCAAGGGCAGCGAGCCTACAGGCACATCCATCTGGATGGTTGGTGCAACAGGGAAGGGAGGGAGGCAGAGTCTCTCGGAGTGTGAGTGGAGACACCTGCCGGCCAGCAGTGGAGCTGAAGGGGAGGGACGCTGCCAGGCTTCCCTGAGCCACAGGGAGCCCGGGAGGGGAGCTAGCCAGAGGTGGAGGTCTGTAGGAACAGAGAAGGGGTGGGGGGGATAAGGATGCTGACGGTGCAGCAAAGGGAACAGAGCAGAGGCAGACAATGCTGAGAGACTGGAACACCTGCCCTGTCCCCAGAGCTGCCATGGTCCCAGTCCATGTGTGCCCTTGTACTGCTCCCTGTCGAGTCGACCTGAGCTGGCCCCTGTTCTGTGCAATCAAAGGAGTCAGGAGTCACAGCCCTGTTCCCATGCCCAGGCCACGGGGCCAATCAGCATCGCAGCGCAAGGCTTTCAGGGTCCCGAAGGTGCCCTGCGAGCACAGAGACAGTGTATGTGGCTGTGCTGAGGAGAAACATGAGGTGGGGGGTGTTTAGACTCAGACCCGAGACATGCAGGGAGGGCAGACCAAGTACAGCAACTGCACGCTTGCGAGATGGTCACAGAGGAGCCTGGTGCGTCTGGGGAAGGTGGAGTGGAAGGGAATGCAGTGGGTGTAGGTGCCGATGGCAAAGGATGGAAATGAGGTGGGAGAAGGAGTGAAAGGAGCAGGTCACAGAGGGCCTAGACAGCACCCTGAGTGCTCTCAGGGGAGTTTCTGCTGAGAAACATCAGCACTTTGGGTAATGTACCTTCTGCCATATCCATTTGGTCATTCAACAGACTTTTACCACGCTGTGGGGTCGCAGTAGACAAAACGGCATGTACAGAACAGCTGGAGAGACAGGGCATGGACAAAGGCGCGTGTGGTGTGAGACCAGACGGCGAGAAACGCCACGGAAACAACGCAGAGTAAAGGACTAGAGAGTGACAGGGATTACGTCAAATGGGAGGTCTGGGCAGGTTTGCTGCCCCAGTTATATGACAGCACCTGTCAGCAGGCTGACACAGCACAAAAGGAGCCACCTGAGGGTAATGTTAGCCCCAAAGCAGCTGACATGCAGGTGTCCACTTTTCTCTACAGAGGGCTAAGGGGAGTAAGAGGACAGCTGCTGCTCAGTCGCACAGGAGCCTTCCAAGCCACGGAAGGGGTTTTCCACATTTATTCCCTTAAATTCCTACTCTGCCTTCCTGCTTCTGACAGAGCCAAGATCTACAAACCAGTCCTCTAGTAAGTCACCAAAAATGCAGCAGTCTTCCTGGTGGGATATAAATATTGAGTACAAGGGTCTCCTCTGCCATAAGCCAGAGCACCCATCTTCACCCCCTGTAGAAAGGGCTTTACTAAGCCACAGCGTCACTGCTGTGCACCTGTGCTTCCCTCTGCTGGGAACACTTCTTTGCCTAGGTGATGCCTATTTGTCCTTCAAAAAGCAGCACAAGTCACCCCTTTGAGAAGCTTGAATGGCTCCAACCCTGCAGTGCACACGCCTCCCCTGTGCCCCCTTAGCACCTGAGCATACTCTATTATATCCCTACCACTTACCACTGGGCTCCTGGCTTGTTGGGCTCTGCTGCCACACAGAGAACTTTTTTTTTAAATTCCTTGGCACCAACAGGTGCGCTGTAACTACTAGTGGAATGAGTCTTCCCTCCTGTGGGACGGAATTCAGTTTGTCCCGGCAGGTGGCACACCACCCGTGTAATGTAGGAGGAATCAGAGAACTCAGATCCATTCTCTAGCGTTCGGAATTTGGCATTTTTGGTTGGCCTCCTCTCCCCTGCTCCAATGTGAATTACCCTCACGCATCATCATTTGGGGTCAGATGACCTACAATCTTTCCCAAGCTAAATTATCCACTAACTGAAAATCTATCGTTCATGACATTGTTCAGTAAGCATTTTTTATCCACTGTGTCCTGTCACACTGTGCTGAGTGCCGGGGACACAAATGATTATGCTCTCAAAGAACTCACAGTCAGTCTGGTGGGCAGAGGGCACTTACCTGTAAGCGACTGCTCCATACTCCCCGGCCAAGGCCACTCGGCTTGCTGGGACTAGCTCCTGGCTCATTGTGCTAAGGATGGCTTCGCTGGAAGAGCCCGCCTGGAACACATCCATAAGGGTTACACAGACCTGAGGGGAGTGGCGAGTTCCCAGCCCTGCCTGCAATCTGGACCAGGATAGCTACTGCCTAGAATTGGCTCTGACCTTTGAGATAAGATGACCTTTCTTGAGTGGCAAGCCAAGATTAGTAACTCCTGGGAGACAGAGAGGTAGAGGTGCCATCTGTGCCAACTCAGGACACTCCTCACACCTGAAACTCTTGGCAGCCTAGTGCCCAGGGCAGAGGAACATCAAGGTGATCAGGGCATAGGACACTTCTTCCTGCCATCGCTGCCTCTGGTCCCCAACAGCTTGAAACTGACCACTGGGTCACTAAGACTCCCCTTAGCAGACAGGCCAGAGCCTGACCAACTGCACCCTGGATGAAGCTGTGCTAAATTACAGAACAGCCTTCCTCCATCTCCCAAAATAAACAAACAAAAACCAAAGAGGGGGAAAGCACCTTATTTTTCTTGTTTTAATATGAATGGCTCTCTGGACCTATGAAACCTGTTAAGTATCAAGAAGATCCTATAAGGATCAAGAGTCTTTCAGCTTTTATGAATGTAATAGTTGTCATGTCTCAACTAGGCCAAGTTTTTTTAGAGACAGGGTCTTTTTTTATCTTATTATTTTTTTTTTTTGAGACAGAGTCTCACTCTGTTGCCCGGGCTAGAGTGCCATGGCGTTAGCCTAGCTCACAGCAACCTCAAACTCCTGGGCTCAAGCAATCCTTCTGTCTCAGCCTCCTGAGTAGCTGGGACTATAGTTACGCGCCATCATGCCTGGCTCATTTTTTTCTATATATTTTTAGTTGGCCAATTAATTTCTTTCTATTTTAAATAGAGACAGGGTCTCACTTTTGCTCAGGCTGGTTCTGAACTCCTGACCTTGAGCGATCCTCCCACCTCGGCCTCCCAGAGTGCTAGGATTACAGGCGTGAGCCACCACACCCAGCCTAGAGACAGGGTCTTGCTCTGTCCACCCAGGAGGGCAGTAGCATGATCACAGCTCATTGTAACCCTACTGCTGGAGGGCAGTAGCATGATCACAGCTCATTGTAACCTCAAACTCCTGGGCACAAAGGATCCTCTTGCCTCAGCTTCCCAAGTAGGTAGGACTACAGGCATGTGCCACCATGCCCAGCTAATTTTTTCATTCTTTGTAGAGACAGGATCTTGCTATGTTGCCCAGGCTGGTCTTGAACTTCTGGCCTTAAGTGATCCTCCCGCCTTGGCCTACCAAAGTGCTGGGATTATAGGTGTGAGCCACTGCACTTGGCCTCCAGTTAAGTTTTGATGTTAAGATTGGATCTTTTCACAGGCAAAGGATTTAGCTACTTGTTAGTTATTAACCCAGCTTGGAATACAAGAGTCTAATAACCTTTATTCCCCAAATCAAAACAAGAAACTGCATTTTCTTATGTCCAGCATGAATTGCTAGGCTGTTTTCCACCTCAGTCTCGGGTGGATGCTCTGGGCAGGAGACAGAACATCAGGTATTGATGAATTTTCTGAACTCATCTAGCAATGGCAAGGTAAAGAAATTCCTCTAAATAGACAGAAATCTTTGTTTTTGTGGGGGAAAAATACTCTTCAGTTTCCCAAAGCCTTGAGTCCTTCCAAGAGGTGAGAAAAGGGGTGTAATAAGCAAGCCTTTGATCTGGGGGTGGGCATGAGGGATGAGTGCAGAGAAAAGCAGTACGGATCCTCCTCTCCAGCAAGCCAGGCTGCAGTAAGGAACGGATGCTGTAACGGCAGACCTGAAATAAAGTAACTGCTCTCAGGTAGAAGCCAATGGCCTAGGCACTTGCCACTCAAAGTGTGGCTCACAAACCAGCAGCATCAGCATTGCCTGGGAGCTTGCTGGAAAGGCAGAACTTCAGGCCCCAGCCCTGGCCCACTGAACCAGAGTCTGCCTTTGAACTGATCCCCAGGTGATCTGTGGGCATATGCCAGTTTGAGACATTCTGCTTTAGACTTTTGTATAAGAGGGAGAGGAAGCCTAACTACATAGGCACCTTTCCTGTGGAGAATATGTCTTTTTGCACTACTTCCTGGAAAATGTCTCCGCCAGTCCTACTAAGATAGGCATTCAGAGAAACGCCTACTTTAAGGCTTGAAGGCCCCATCCTTACCGAGATGTTCCACATCATCTTGATGGCTAAGGGGAAGACAGGGGCCCCTGCCGCTTGCACGTCCTTTTCTCCTCGAGGGATGACATCTGGGCCTCTCCCTGGGAGCAGCTCGATGCTCTTTGCCACCTCCAGCTGCTGGGGCAACGCAGGCATGGCGGCTTCATACACAGCGGCACTGCAGCCCTTGCCAATGGACTGCCCTATCAGATACTCCTCCAGCCGGAAGCCCTGCCAGCGCCTAGTGTCCAGTGGGTCAGGCACCAGCTTATTCTTCTGGGCAAAAATTGCCTGTAAGGGAAAAGAATGCACTGTGAACCAGGGAGCCCATGAAGGCCCAGGTAAAGGGAAACAGGAGGAGGGGAGAGACCTGGCCCTTACCGGCCAGATCAAGGACCAATAAAAGCCAACCCAACTGGGTTTCGCTGCTCATCCTGAGGGCAGGCCTTCCTGCCTCTCTCATTATTCAGAATAATTTTTCTCAAACTGTTGCTTCACTGTGATAGCAGCACTGAGTTAGCCGAAGGGTCCTGCAGCTGGTACAGCACCCCTTTGCTGCCTTCGCTCTCCAGCCCAGTCTTGGAGGTGTCTGGTTATGGAGACAGCTCTCTCTGCAAAGACCTAGGCTGACAGCTCCTAGACAGCTATCAGGGGTGTGTGACCAATAACGACCTCAGGAGCTTTTGCAGGCAAGGGGGCGACATTGGGAGTACCTCAGAGCTGAGTCATTAAGTCCTGTCTCCCCACCTCTGCCTCCCAGGACTCTGATGGGCCTACTCTGTTGAGGAAGGAAACAAGAGCACAGAGTTCTGACAGACACAGATGGAGCGGCAGGTCCTGTGCACCGTGCTGCGCTGGAAAAGAGGCCACGTGCCAAAACTCTGGGCAGCCCCTCACCCTGCTTTAGGCAGTGGTGACGTCACACCTCCAGTCACCCAGGCTCAGTCTTCCCCCTCCAATGGTCTGACCTGCTGATCCACGGCTAGTTACCCAGGGCACCAGGCACAGCATGTGCACCCCCCTTGGCAGCAGCCTACCAGCATGTCTCTAGATTCCCCCACTCTCATGCTGTCCCTTCACTGCTTCTGAGCCACACTAACCCATGCTGCTTTCATGTGTCACTCTGCTGTGCACAACACCGCCCAGGAGGCTATTCGATACCTCTTCCTGGTGCTTTGCCAGGCTGGTCTGCGCACTGTGTGTGCTTACCTTTCAGATGCCTCTCTGAACTGCTGCTCACCCCCCACCGCCATGGTACTGCTCTGCCCACTCGTCCCTGCTCACCCATCAAGCATACTCCAGCTCCTTCTTCCTCTGTAACCAGCCCCGATGACCCAGCCCACAGCAACTTTCCTTCTGGAGGATTCCTAAAGTACTTAGTATCCATAAACAAATATACCTTGCACTAGAACTTTGAACCTTTTTTTTTTTTTTGAGACAGTCTCACTCTGTTGCCCGTGCTAGAGTGCTGTGGCGTCAGCCTCGCTCTTGCTCAGGCTGGTTTTGAACTCCTGACCTTGAGCAATCCTACCGCCTTGGCCTCCCAGAGTGCTAGGATTACAGGTGTGAGTCACTGCGCCCGGCCCAGGGCAAATCTTACTTCCCTAAAACACCCATTATGGCAAAGTTAGGCGGTACAGAGGGTGAGGAAGGAGAACTGTTTCCATGTTAAAAACAGGTAAGGCAAGCCACAGAGATAGGGTACTAGGTGAAAAGTATGTTCTAGATGAAAGTGAGATTTTGTTTTGATGAAAAATCATCTCAATGGCAAAGTGCCCTCCAGGATAGAGGTACTTCCTGTGCATGGCCTTATTCTCCCAAAGGGTGAGGACCCTCTTCCCTGAAACCCTGTGCTCAAGGTGCATGTGGAGGGCAGGCACCAGCTCCCCCTCAGAAAATGAAGCAGCTCCAGCTCCTGCCATGTCTCTGCCACTTACTTTTTTTTTTTTTTTTAAGGCAAGCACGAAAATGAGGTTTATTAAGGAAAGCAAGATGGGATTATAGCCACTTACTTCTTCATGACGAGGAACAGTGTCCGGCCGTGGCCCAGGCCTTCTGGGTGGAGACGTGAGGGCAGCACATCAGGGTAGTCGACCAGGGCCCCGGGCAGCAGCGGCACAGACGAGGTGAAGGCGCGGAGAACCCGGATGATGTTGGGGTGAGGGGCCAGTTGCTTGGGACCGCCCTTGGATTTTCTATTCAGCCAAGTGGAACAAACATGAGGCCAGTATCAGATACAAAAGCTAGAAAGAAAAGAATCTAAGGCCACAACAAACACCTACATTTATTCGCTCATTTATCAGATATTTATCATGTGCTATATGCCAGGTACTATAAATGTGTTGGGGAACATATTTGATGACTCCCCTATCCATCCTTCATCTATCTGCCCTTCCATTCATCCATTCATTCATTCATCCATCCATTCTTCCATTCATCCATCCGTCCCATGTAGCAGAACACAACGGTTGAGAAACCCTGGGATCAGACTGCCTGGGTTTGAATTCAAGGTCTGCTACTGTAAGTCCTTGGCCAAGTTATAGTATAGCCCCCTTATCCAAAGCTTTGCTTTCCATGGTTTCAGTTACCTGTGGCCTAAAAATAGGTGTATTCACCTATTTTTTTTTAATAAGTTTTTTTTTTTTTTTGATATGAGGTCTATGTTGCCCAGGCAGGTCGTGAACTCCCGATTGGCTGGGACTATAGGCGTGTGCCACTGTGCCTAGCTTAATGAGATATTTAGAGAGAGACACAGAGAGAGAACTGGGCAACGCAGGCATGCGCGGCTTCATACACAGCGGCCACTGCAGCCCTTGCCAATGGACTGCACCTATCAAGATACTCCTCCAGCCGGAAGCCCCTGCCAGCGCCCTAGTGTCCAGGTGGGTCAGGCACCAGCTATTCTTTCTGGGGCAAAAATTGCCTGTAAGAACGGAAAAGAATTTGCCACTGTGAACCAGGACCCCATGAAGGGCCCAGGTAAAGGGAAACAAGGAGGAGGGGAAACCTGGCCCTTACCGAGCCAGATTCAAGGACCAATAAAAAGCCAACCCAACTGGTTTCGCTGCTCATCCTGAGGGGCCAGGCCATCCTGCCTCTGCTCATTCATTCGAATAATTTTCTCAAACTGTTGCTTCACTGTGATCGCAGCACTGAGATTAGCCGAAGGGTCCTGCAGCTGCGCTACAGCACCCCTTTGCTGCCTTCGCTCTCCAGCGGCCAGTCTTGGAGTGTCTGGTGGATTATGGAGACAGCTCTCTCATGCAAAGACCTAGGCGACAGGCTCCTAGACAGGCTATCAGGGGTGTGTGCACAAACGACCTCAGGAGCTTTTGCAGGCAAGGGCGACATTTGGGAGTATCCCAGAGCTGAGTCATGTAGAGTCCTTCTCCCCACTCTGCCTCCAGGACTCTGATGCGGCTACTCTGTTGAGGAAGAAACAAGAGCACAAGGAATTTGACAGACACAGGATGGAGCCGGCAGTCCTGCTGCACTGTGCTGCGCTGGAAAAAGAGGCACGCTGCCAAAACTCTGGGCAGCCCCTTCACCCATGCTTTA